ATCTGAATCCAATTTTTTTTATCTTTTAGAAATGCCACATTGTACCTTGGTTCTTTCTAGTGTGGTTATGGCTTTCTTGATCACTGTACTTTTTATCGTTGTATCACTCGGATAATTTTAATAGGGCTTTATTAGAGAATGACTTAAAAACTGAAAGTAGGATGTTTCATAGCACAGTATGAGGGGGTATCCCCCCCACCCCCAAGAACGGATTTTTCTAAAGCTATGTAATTAAAATTTTTTATAAAACCACCTTATCACCTTGAAAGCACTTTGTCAAATCTGCAATTCCATCTTTGGATACATTTTTCAAAGTTATCTACTTGAATGGCTGACAGCACCTCCCTTGTTTTTTTTCTTCCTCTTCTGCATCGTCAAATCGCCGTCCTTTCATGTCCCTCTTCATTCGCAGAAACAAAAAGAAGTTGCTCGGAGCGAAGTCAGGTGAGTAAGGTGCATGGGGCAAGAGAGGCATGCTGTTTTTTTGACAAACACTGGTGCACAGAGATGGCTGCATGAGCAGGTGCATTGCCATGGTGGCAAAACCAGTCCCGTCTGCCACAAATCAGGCCTTTTTTGTCGCATACTGTTACACAATCTTTTCAAAACTTCTAAATAGAAAGCTTGATTAACAGTCCGACCTGGTGGAATGAACTCCAAATGCACTCGTCAGGGTTAACCAGCTGCTAACACATCATCACGGGTCCAGTAGGCACAATTGTACAGCGATAATAAGTAGAGATTATAGTAAAGCCACAGAGAGCATAAGAGATAAGAGATTGAAATAATGGAGTCAGACATATTTCATGATAGCATGCTCACCTCAGCCTCACTTGGTGGTCCACATGGAGATTTAATGCTAACCAAGGAGTATACATTCTCTGTAGACATGGAAGCCCCCTAATTACAGGTGAAGACATACGTCACAGGAAAGGGTTGTGCTATAGGTAATAAAGTAATGGAAGGGGGGTGATCTAGGGGTATCCATGTAATAGGAAGGGGAGGTAATGGGGGTACACATGTGACAAGATGGGCAGATCCTAGATTCAGGATGGCAGCTTAACTTTGGATGTCACTCAGCCGCTTTGACCTGTTCTCTGGCCCACCACAGAAACCATATCAGTAAGGTTTAAACCCCACCTACAGGAACCAGACTAATGGTCACAAGCCTTTGTCCCTAACAGCAGTGAGTAGGCCATAGCTGTGGTGGACCCAGACAGGAGGAGTCTGGCAACTGTCTTCAGGGAGGTAACTTGACAATCATTTACCATTAGTTGCAAGCAGTGTCCTAAGTCTAGCATCTATTTCAGGGAGATGACTTGAGAGAAATCTTTGTTTCCCACACACTATCCCCCTCACATTAAAAAAAGAGTGAGCATCAATTTGGGGGGAACCCCTATTAGTATGCCATGAAGCACCCTACTTTTGCTGAAGGGCTAAGCTGCCTGTAGTCCCTCCATGCTACTTCTCGCCTCCATGGTGTCCTTCTCCGGCTGAGCATAACACCCATTGTCCTCACCACCCGCTCCCTCACTCCTACCTGTAGTGTGCAACTAACTGGGGATCCAGTTCTCCCACAGCCCCGCCAGCAGTCCTAGCAGCTCGCAGCTCAGGCGGTGGACAGCGTGGCAACGGGCAGGCAGCCCAGCTTGGAGAAAGCTCTTGGTAGCTGAGGGCCACAGGCATCTGGCAGAGCCCTCCCCACAGCCAAGATGCCCCAAAGGAAGGTCAGCAGGGTCCAAGCAGTAGTGGAGGCGCTCGAGATCAGGAAGCAAGGTTGTCAGCAAAACCTACACCTGAAAAAGTGGTGACAAGCCAAGAGCCAGCAGGAAACAATCAATCCAGACCCAAAAAATGTGCAAGGAAATTTGAGGAAAGGGGGAGCGAAGGGAAAGCAGCATAAAGCAGCTAACCAAGAAACTAAAGATTTACCTGCCAAAAATGGGTAAGCGAAAACAAGGAATCCAGCCTCTGAAGCAGCTGGAGAAAAAGTAGCCAGGTCTGATGAATGTTTATCTACCATGTCTTATTAGTGGGCCTTGCTGTCTCCCTTCCAGTACAACCCAGAATATCTTTATCTATTTTGTAAATGTAAGGGTTTTTTTCAGTAGCTCTAGAAATATTTTTTGAGGAAATCCCACTTCACCCCATTTTTTAAAAGTATAAATGCTTTTCTTAAAGACATGGAATCATTTACTGGTTTTGGTACAACCAGAAAATAGTGGAAAGTTGAATTATGGGAACGTATGACTGTGTTGGATGGCAATGTAACATTCATGGGATGGGGGTGCTCAGGTAGTCTTTGTACCCCTAATACAAAACATACTTAGCAATTTGGAGTCAGTATGCAGCATTTGTACGACTATAACATTTAAAATTTTGTTTCCATGTTTTTGTTTTAATAGATTAGTGTGATTCTGCAACACCTTTGGAGGTAGTTTCCTGATAACTTTGTTATGCGCTGTGACAGGTTGGACATTTGAATGTGTAGTGTGTATGACATTGAACTGTAAATTAGTGGGGCTTGAGATGTAACAGCTTATAAGCATTTTAAGAGAATAGTACTTGATAACCTCTTAAAAATTGCATCCAGACCACACTTCAACCCAAGACACGAATGCAACATACTGGCATGAGGCAGTGAACCAATAGGTCTGTGGGCAACACCCTACCCCCAGAGTCCCCCCCAAGAAGAACACACTTCAGAGGAAAGCACTCAGGGAGAGGGATGTTTCTGATCAGAGCACACGGGAGCAAACGAAGAGGGAAGGAGTAGAACACATCCTGGAACACACGCCACCAAACTCGGAAGAAGATATTCCTCTTCAGAGCAGTCAATGCAGAGGACCATAGGGCCGGCCCCACCATGAGACATATGGGTCCCTCTATGGGTCCCTCACTGATGCATAGAGCTATGGGGGCCAACACTGGGGACACAGTGCAGGAAATGTGCCCAATCTGACCCCAGCACAGCAGGGCAAAACACTAAAGGCGTGCAACAGAGCAGCAAGGGGAGCAGTGCAACGAAGACCCCGAGGAATAGCAGACAGACTTTGGACCAGGGCATGGCACCCCGTCAGACTCAACTGGAAAACACTCCCACAGGTCAAAAAACCACCTGGAACTACTTACTTTTCTTTTTTCTCATTAGTTTTTGTCGTTTTGTTCTGTCTTGTTTTTGTGCTTATTGTGTCTGCATATTTATCTAGTTAAGTGGGATACACAATCCAGAGAAAACTGGACCGAATGGGGGAACATGGGGAGAGGGGTGGGGGAGGTTGTCAACCAACCCAAGGCCAAGGGAACAAGTGATCTGAAATCAATGGTGAGGAGGGTATAGGATGCCTGGTGGGGCTTAATCAAGAGCAATGTAGCCAAGAGGAATTACTGAAACCTGAATGCAAGCCAAACATGATAGTGGGACAAGGGGAAAGTAAAAGGAATAGAAGAACTAGGAGGCAAAGGGCATTTATAGAGGTCTAAATATAGGCATGTGCACATAAACTGATCTTTGTACACATATTTAAGTCTTAAGGTAGCAGGCGGACACTGGGCCTCTACTCAAGTACTCCCTCAATTCAAGAACACTTTGCTGTCCATTAGGGCTCTTAGAGAAACATAATACGTATCATACATTATAAAATATGTATACTATCTAAATCCTAGTCAAATCTTAAAGTGCCAAGAATCACTTTCTCGCAACAGGGATCATAAAGTCAAATCTTAACATGTGAACATCAAGTTGACAAGCTATCAACAAATGAAGAGGCAAGGAACAGCACATGAAACACACACTCACCGGATTTGGACGCGATCCTGACCAAGGAAGCGTAAGCAGGGTGACATAACGTTTGTTAGATGGGTCCTATTATGATACCCCACGTAATTAAACAATCTAAGGGGTTTTAGAAGAACCCCTTTATTTAGTCATTTAATGCTTTAGAAAGTTACTTAAAATAAATACTACTTTGGCGAATCCATAAACCTACTCACAGAAGTGCAGAGCAGCTTTGTGCTATGAAGAGCTGAAGCAAACTGCCTTTGAGTCCATTCTGACCCTACAGCAGCTCTACACAAGGGAAAGCTGCCTGTGGGTCTCCCGTGACAACTCCTTTCTCCAGGGAAAAGGCTGGTGGTTCTGAACCACTGACCTTGAGGTTGGCAGCCCAATATACAACGCAATCCACTGTAGTGCCTACAAACTGGCATAGGGGACAATAGTAATAGGTCCCTAAATCCCTTTTAAAATAATCTGTATTAATCTATTATTCTTAGTATTAAAAAAAAAAATTAAATGACATGAGAGCTCATTAGAATTTTAACTTCTAAGCAAAATGATTTTCTAAAGCCTGCGTTCACCAGAGACTCCTAAACAGGATCCAGATTTCACTCATCTTCAACTAATCTTGGTCTTTTAACCTGAAATCCCTATTACTACATACAAATGCCTACTAGAAGTTTTCAGTTTAAAAATATGCAAACTCAGCTAACCACAATAAACCTGCATTGCCCTTGAAAACTAGTTTTAATAGCCTTGCATGCAACGGTGAAATTCTCATCACATCTTCACCCATTTAATACTTTCAAATTTGATATCCTTCGTGCCTTAAGGGAACCCTGGAGGCATACTAAACACGGCTGCAGTTCAAATCTGTCAGTACTAGACCTTTCCATTCCCCTAAATCTAGTTTTGGAAACTCATAGGGGCATCCACTTTATACAGTGAATGAGTGCTTTTTAAAAAAAATTTTTTTGATAATCATAATCTCCTCCTTCTCCAAAGTGCAAACTCTTATGATGTCCAGAGTAAGTACTTTAAAACAGCACTGCTTTTCAGTGATCAGGATGTAAATAAATTACGTATGAATAGATGGCCTAACAGTCTCATCTATTTTTTCAACATCCATAAGCATGAGTCTTAAGAATAGAAAAATTGTTTTTAATACTAATTCTATTAAATGATCCATTAAAAAAATGCTGATTGAAGGAGAAAGTTTTTGTAAAAAACATTTTTATTACTACAAAGGGAAACATGGTCACAAAAAGCCTTTAAGCGTATCTTAACGCAAATTACTATATTCAATGTTCAACGCAGTAAAAAAATACACACTCAGAGCACAAAATACTTGCCCAATTATCTTCTCAAGGCTAAGTATTCCAAGATCAATGCACACTTGAATATTTACTCCCAAGAGCAGCATTTAAGTCCAAATGATTAGAATAGATATACTAACAACCCATTATCTGTTATCCTTAACACCAATAATTAAAATTATACAAACAATTATTTCAGATCAAATTTTATAGCTATAAAAAAAATTAAACTGAAACTGTCCTATCTTTATTAAACAAATACCAAATATTTTAAAATTATATAAAACAAATCTTAATGTGTGGAATGCATGCAACATGGGTGTTGATTAATTTTTAGGCTATTAAAATTCTTACTCTTTATACATTAGAACACAAAAGAAATGTAAAGCTCCATTGAAATCTAATTTTCTTCAGGTTGGTCAACAGGGAAGTCGGCAGGTTCTTCCTTTGCTTCCTCCTCTCCTTCCTGTGTTCCCTCGACTTCCACTGATCCTCCCGCTTCTCCTGCTCCCTCCACCTCCCCAGTTCCAGCTACTTCTCCAGCTCTCTCATCTTCTCCAGCCCCCTCATCTTCCCCAGCCCCCTCATCTTCCCCAGCCCCCTCATCTTCCCCAGCCCCCTCATCTTCCCCAGCTCCTTCGACCTCTCCCTCTCCCTCTGTTTCCCCCACTCCCTCCACTCCTCCAACTTCCTCCACTTCCTCTGCTTCTTCTGCTTCCTCCTCTTCTTCCTCTTCATCGTCCTCTTCTTCAATAGGTTCATCAATCTTTTCTTCTTCCTCTTCATCTCCTAGTTGATCTTGAGCATGATCTTGAATTTCAAAAGGGTTCTCACCCTAAAAACATGAGAAGTAACTTAAATTTTGTATAATCGCTTTTGAATCACTGAACATTTTGCTAGATTAAGAATAAACAATATTTGAAGCCTTTTAATGTTATGACATCCATTGAATATTTACAGCATCTGTTTCATACTAACGTAGATATATCAATGACTGAAGTCGTAACTTACACTGCCATACTGGATAAAGACCTAATTTCCTTCTTTAATTCAACTTCTAAAATCATATGTGTAATAAAGCAAAATAGAACCTTTGGTAGAAACAAATTGAATGATGCAAAGATTTACTTGATTTCAAAAATATTCAATGCACAACCGTTGCAGAATTTCTTTAAAGTTGATATGAAAACCGACTATTTTGTTATACTTTTTATTTTTTAAGGCACATAAATCTTTTACTCACTGAACACAGAAATCACACATTTTTTTTGTTGTTAGGTATCACATCTTATTTTAATATTTAAAGTTGATCTCACAGATACCTATGAACGTAAGTTTAGAACTCAGAAGCCTGGAAGTTAAAAGCCATTGCGAATGGCTTATATTGGATGAATGATAAAATCAAGGCCATAAAATGGAATTGTACTGGAGTGGGAGTAAGGCACTAGGTAAGAAAAAAAACATGACAAAAATCAATTTAAAATGCTTATACATGGGGCACAAGTTTGAACAGAAGACACACACATGGTACAAGAGAAAATTCAAGATAATATTATCTGGCAAAACAACAAATTTGAGAATAATTGATTAATCAACTATGTCTAACCAGTAAGAAAAAACTAAAGGGGGACACTGGAGCTGGTATTTGAAGATAGATTTTTAAGGCTTTATAATATGCCCCTTTATTTTTATATAAGTTTACATTTGATAATTAGATTATTGGTAATCTTGGAGCAGTTTCATATTAAGTCTGATACAAGTGGGAGTTAGACAATGGCTTCCCCTAAGAATCCTCCTTCTCCATGACGTTGTTTCAAAAACAACACAGGCCCATGTTTTTAATCTCATTCTAATACTGCAGCACTTATTGAGAACAAAAAAGTCCTGATCCAGGAGGGAGCTTCTGCTGCAGCGGCCTTTAGGACCGAGTCCCTGCCCCCCCCTCCCCCTCCCACATCTACCCAAGTGAGACCACCTTTACGCAGTTCACCCCATTGATAGTGGTATGCTTGAAAAACGAACCTGGCTAATTTATATCTTAGTTCCTTTATTTCATTTTTTGTGTATTCTTAACCACAAAAGGAGTATATTGTAGCTTGTTCCCTATAACATGTTGTAAACCAGGGGAAATCTATTCTAACTAGAGCAATGACAGGTTAAGAGGAAAGCAGTCAAATATCAGACATGCACAGTAACTGGACATCCTCTAAGCCGGCTGCTCTTAATAATCAAGAATGAAGCTGGCATTTTGATCTTGCATTCGAGACCCCAGTTTATCACCCATTAATAGCAATAACCCTACACCCCTTCAAATTCCAACAATTAGCAAAAGATGTTTTCCCTATATGCCAGATATGTAATAAAACTTAGCCTAATACGTTGTATTCTGCATTTGAATATAACAATGATTTACTTTGTCATCATTTAATTACTGAAATTTATCATTAAGAAATTACCTCAAAAACATCCCTCCTAAAATCTTACCTTAACAAAACGTTCATATCGTGCTTTCACTATTGGATTATTTAAAATACTTGTAGCAGTCAAGACACTCTCTCTTTTTATCTGTTCCTTATACACCTGTGAAATATGGAACGCATTGATGATACTTGCAATGACCAAAAAAAAAAAAAAATCACATAATTGAAGTGATATTTAATGTCTCAAATCCTTTGATTTAAATGATTTATTTTCTGAGACATGAAGCCAGAGAGTAACAACAGGAGTCATGCCCATCATCTAAATTACTCAGATATTCCAACACGGACCATCTAGTCCTCAGACTAGAGAACTGCCTTCTCTCTCCTGTCCAGTCCCAAACTATTCCAAATAGCAATTTTCATGCTTTCAAAAATATAATTTTTATACTGCAAGAGTAACTAGTCTTCCTCTGGGCTGTACTATACAAAAAAGAAACAGTAGTAATATGGAATGCCTGTTGCCAAAATGGTGGCAACCTTCAAAATGAGAAGAGGCAAAACAGAGATAGGGAGACTCTATGGAAGATGTGACTAAAAGTCTGAGCTAAGCGAGCGTTACTTCGGTACAAAACACAGAGACTCATATATGCTTTATTAAAAACTCCTACCTTTAATATTTAATATTTGAACTCCAGTAGTATGAGCGTGAGTTTTGTTTAAAATAACTACACAAAACCAGCTAATATTAGAAGCAGACAGTGCCAATAAAAGAGAATCATAGACTTATCTTTGATATGTTACTAAAAACCTTAAAAATTGTTGGTACTGGTAATTCTAGTTTACAAATTTACTTAAAAATAAAAATTATATTGCCCAACTCTTTTAAGTTGGTTTAAAACACTGAATTATATGGTATGTGAATTACATATCATAAAATTGTTAAAAATAAAGCTATTCTGAAAACAATTTCTTTCAGTGTATTAATCATACTCAAGATTTTAATTTCATTATGTTCTCAAGCATATGTACACTAACAAATCTATTTTACTGCAACTTAAAAAAAATACTAACAGTCATAATATCCTAAATGATCACTAGGTGCCACATACTATTTGAAGTGTTTTATATGCTTTAGTTAATCCAATCCTTAAATAATCACAAATGCAAAATAAGTATCAATCCCTGTCCTGTTCCCAAACCTACAATCTCAATCATGCTAACGTCCTTCTCTATACCCTTCTACTAGGTATCTAAGATTAAGAGAAATTAGATGCAAGTAGGCAGGTGTGAGATAATAAAGTACTGATGAATAATTTAATGCCTTTATTTAGATTGAAAACTTACCTGCTTAGCTTTGATATGATCGGGAGATTTTAAGTGCTGCTGAATTAAACTATGTAAAGCAGGGATATACACACTACAGGCATTGCAGTGAATAGTCTCAACTCGCATCATGTGATCATCCGCAGTAACACCTAAAAATGAAATTCTTATGATTAAGGAAAAATAATCCTCATGATTTTGTTCCTGACAGACTAAAGTGCCCATGATGAGCTATAACCCTTCTCCCAAAGATAGGCTCAAGAATAATAACGTTTATTTTTAGCTTTTCTTCCACATGGTGTAAATGTGCACATATAGAGTAAAAAGTATAAGGTATAATAATACGATATTTCAGTCATGCTATACAATCATGCTCTAACACTCCCAAGTCCTTAAACCCAAAAATACACCAAGGAAAACAACTATTAGAATGTTTTATAGTAAAATCAAAACTTCCACGAATTTGAACTTCATACTGTAGGTGATGGGGAAGTTATTCAAAGTTCCTTTAAGTAATAAAATCATGAAGAAGTGCATACGGGACTGAAGATAAAGACTACCACAATTGTCAAGAGACAAGGATTTAAATACATGCAATATTAGATAAAAGGTAAGAAGCTTGGAAATTATTTTTAAAAAGAGATTATTAGAATACAGCATTGCACTTAGTTTATGGTGCTGTGACCTGTCAAAATCAGGTGGCCACCCTGTCTTCCAGGTAACTATTTCTAAAATAATTTTATAATTCTCGCATTGGCAGATGGAGGTGTGTGTGGAGGAACTTTCCAAGATGAAGGAAGGAAAAATTTGATTGTGGTTGTCGGTGCAAATTACTGTAGAAATAAGATAATTCAAAAGAGCCCATCAAAATGCATGCTGTCATCTGTCAGAGCAGGTTCATTAAGACTGATGATACTAAAAGTGTTTCTTCTGTGAGGTACTAAGTGGTAATAGAAGCCACAAAAACCAGAGCAAACTACATCTTAAGACATTTGGTGGCTTAAAGGAAAAGGGAAAGGTAGACGTTTCACGGGAACTGTGTCTAGTTGTGTATGCGTGTGTCTCCACCCCCACCCCAAACTCTCATAATAAAAGCATGTTTGTAAGTTTCAGGAAATGCCGAGGTGGTACAAACCGGTAACAACCTGGCTGCTAACTAAAGGGCTGGAGGTATGAGTTCATCCAGAGGCTCCTAAGAAGAAAAGCCTAGCAACCGACTTCCAAATTACCAGCCACTGCAAACCCTAGGCAGCACACTTCTATTCTGATGGCACACAGGGTTTTCATAAATCAGAAATGACCTCAAAACAATCTGTTTCTTACATGCCTCAGAAAAATAAAAACAGAAGAGAGAAGTTTATCATTTAAGCAAAAATTCTCAAGACGAGAAGGGATGAGAGTGGCAGAGGAAAAAAGAATAGAAGGATGAAGAGAAGGACAAAATGGTAGTGAAGGGTAGGAAGGGATAAGGGTAGGTAGGCATTCATAAGAACAAGAACAAGTCAAAGGATTTAGTTGCAGAGAACCCACTCAGGTTACTAACTAGACTGAGCTTTAAAACTCTTGGGAGCATTCTTTACATGGAAATAGGTTATGACATAGGAAATATACATGTGACTTCTAAAGCAATTGGTCTAAATGTATACCTTCCATAGCATCTTTATCAATTATTTTGCCTGCTTCTGTTAGACTATTTGTCTGTTGTTTACGAATAGATGTTCTCTTGAATTTATTCACCATACATTCCTAGAAAACAAAAAAGGATGATTTCATCAACTAGAATCTCAAAGTTTCCATGAGTACATACTATTAGCTTGGCCCCAGGATGGGTCCATGGGAAATACAGCATAAAGATTAGATCTATTTTCTAAAAGCTTAAACCTGAACTGAAAAGACTATCCTAAAAAGCTAGAAGTACAAAAAATATTCACTTTTCAAAAGGCATTTTAAACATACAGAGAAAAATGAAAGCAAGCTGGAATAGTCAAGTATCTTGTCAGGTTAGGTGGGTGGTTGAGTTCCAAATAACAAATGACAACCAGGTAAGGAAATTACAGAAAAAGCTGTGAATCAAGGAACAAAATTTTGCCAAGATATCCTGGGGTGTGAATAAACACAGAATGAGAGAAAGAAGGGATATTGTGAAAAACAAAATTAGGAATTCAAATGTCAGATAAGATGCTTTTCACTTCAAAAACAGCTACTTACATGCAAAAAATCCATAACTACTTTGTCAAATTTGGTTTGTTTCTGAATATGATCTAATGTTGCCTGGTGTGACGAGCTTTCCAGATGCAGTTCAATATCTTTTTCTTCAAAGGTTCGGAATTTACAAAATGAACATGTGAATGCAGTTCTACATGAAGGAAAAAAAATCATATCAATTATTGTTATTCATTTAAAAATAATACATAGGAATATACCACAAAAGTGAACTGTACCAGCATAAATAACTTTCTTCAGTCTTAGGACTGATTTCCTAGCAATACGATAGGACAGAGCAGACCTGCCCCTGTGGGTTTACGAGACTTTAGCTGCAGTACAAGACCTTTTTAAAGAGCTCTTGAAAAGGAGGGATGTTACTTCGAGGATTAAGCTGTGCCTGACCCAAGTCATGGTGTTTTCCAATGCTTTGTGTGCACACAAAAGTTGGACAATGAATAAAGTAAAGAAGAATCGATGCATTTAAATCACAGTGCTGGAGAATATTTAAAGAACCCTGGCAAACAAATCTGTCTTGGGTGAAAACAGACAGAGTGCTGCTCCTTAGAAGCAAGGATGGAGACTGTCTCACATACTTTGGACATATTGTCAAGAGTTCTTTCCTGGAGAAAGACATCATACTTGGTAAAGTGGAGGGGCAGCAAAAAAGAGGATGGCCCTCAACAATATGAACTGACACTTTGACTGCAACAACTGGCTCAGGGAGAAGATAAAGTGTGAGGACGGTGTAGGACTAGGCAAGTATTTTGTTCTGTTGTGCACAGGTTGATAGGGGTCGGAATGGACTTGATTGCCCTTGAAGAACGCTTTACAAGAGTAAGCAGCTGTATCTTTGAAACTGCTGGCCTTCCACTCAGCAGCCCAGCTTGTAACCCACTGCGGCACTGTGAGCTGAAAACCAACTGGACGGCAGTGAGTGTGTCTCTGTGGATACCTGATTTCCATTTAGCGTTTAAGCCAGAGCACTATTACTGAAATACCTGTTGGAGTAGCACTTCATTATACTGGAGTCTGTGAATGATGTACTGAATCCCACACAAAAGCACCTGCTTCTGAAAAGTCAAAGCCTTGAAAACGCTACTGGCCCAGTCTGGCCTTCAACACATGGGTTGGTACACAAGAGTCAAAATCAACTCCACAAAGCAGGTTTGGTCTCTAGATTTGGGAGGGATTTTTCACTTTGTACTTCTACACTCCAGCCCAGTATTCTTGATTTCTCCACAGCCAAAGCAAACTTTGAGATACATTAAATTCCAAACCTTCTTTTACACTGTTCTGTCACAAAGTTATCACAATTAAGGTAGCATCAACAAAGCCAGACATAGTACCAATCACAATTCATTCACTTGAAGCTTTTAGATGAACGACCTAACAGACCACTTCAGCATAACTAATAGGCCTTACCCTCCCCTAAAGGAATACCTGCACTAAAGAGCTCAGGAGGCCCCTACCTGGGATGAAATCTTCCCTTTTTCTTTCATTTAGTTTCTACCTTTTAATCTCCTTACTATTTCCTTTTCTGTAAATGATAAGTCTCCTAACTGGTTTTGTTAAGTGCCCATGTTCTACCTTATTCCTTATACTATAAGACTTGTTCCCCTGGATAAGGAATGTGGGCTCTAGAGATAGATCCTTGGGCAAGTATTTAATTCCTTTGAGTCTTACATTTTTTATCTCCACAGATAAGATTTTTGAAAATTAGTCCACACGTAGCCCTTACAACAGTCCTGGGCATAGTAATTATGAAATTTACATAAGAATACAACAAAACCCTATTATTTAATATACTTATCACTGTTACTTTTTAAAGGCAGTAATAACACATTAGGTTCTAAGGCTTAAATGGCTCCTACCAAAAACCAAATCCACTGCCATCAAGTCAACTCATATAAGGTTCCCTAAACTGCGAATCTTTATGAAAACAGACAGCCTCATCTTTCTCCTGCAGAGTGGCTGGTAGGTCTGAACCACCTACCTTGCAGTTAGTTAGCAATTCAATGCTTACCCAGGCAGCACTACCAGGGATCCTTACATTTCTAAAATATGAAAATGCTTTTGACTACCATTTAACATTTTTAATTAAAAAAACAACACTTCGCTTTATTAGACAATACTTAATAGTATTGCTACAAGGTATGCCGTCATTAAGTTGACACCTTTCTTCAACCTTTGTAGTTCAATTTGTCTAGCTTTCCACTTCCTGAATACCCATGCATATATAGTCATGGGGGTTCCACCAGTCTTCTTGTGACTAGGTACACCTGGTCTCGGTTTTACATTCCCCCCACATTTTTCTACCCTATCCAGGACCCTCCTCCTGTAATCCCTTTCAGAGTAAAAACTGGTAGTAGCTGGGCACCATCTAGTTCTTAGGGTCTCGGGGTCACGGAAGCTAGGACATGTGGTCTATTAGTTCTTTGGACTAATTGTTTCCTTGTACCTTTGACTTTCTTCATCCCTTTGCTCCAAATACAAAAAGGTCAATAGTTGCATGGCATCTCACAAGATGTTAAGACCCTAGTAGCTATGTTATACAAACTGGCTTTAGTGTCTTAGATAGCCTCCGAGGCATATTTAACTAATATGGTTTTTTTCTTAGTTCAATATCTAGAAAGGCTAGTACCTACCTACTTTTTTTTAATAGTTTTCTTTGGTATCTGGATTGAGAAAATCTAGTATATTATTTCCTTTTGCTATCCAAGATGATCATTATCTCTATAAGGTCAAATTTCTTTCAAGACTCCATAGTTTTCTCCATTTCTTTTTAAGAATAATGCATTGGATATTTACCATTATGATTAGGGCTTCAAGTGATTGCATACAAATATCAAAAGGCAAAACATTGCTATTATTTTTTGCAGTCTCTTTGTTGGTGTAAGTCGTTAATGCAACTGGCTTCTAACGAAAAGACTGGAGGTTTTGAGTTTTACCCAGAGGTTACCCTACCAAGAAAGGCCTAAAAATCTACTTCTAAAAACTCAGTCATTGAAAGTCCTATGGGAATATCTCAGTCAAATCTCATTAACACAGGGTTTACCAACATTTCTTATAAACTTATCTCTACGGACACGTGACAAATTGGCATGTTAAATAAACCACATTTTCCTTAAAACAATATAATTGTTCACTATTCACTTGTAAATGAAGCTATGTAATACTACATATGTTTATAAAAATTTATATTTATCATAGAACATCTGAAATACTGGGTTTGATGGATAAGGGTTGCTAGGGTCAGTCAGTATGACAATCTGTATTGTTTGTCTTTACATTTGATGTTTACTTTCTAAGAACTTTCTTACTACGTTTATATTTACTATTGAAGTACAGTAATGCTTTTCATAAATGAAATCAACTTACTGGGATTAATACTCAATTTAAGTTGTGTCAAATTGACGTGTATCCAAAGAGATGGATTCACGCCAGAGAATTTTGAGCCGACAAGGCTTAGAAGAAAATAAATTTGGATATATATGTATCTTGTTAAATGGCTAAAAGTCGGCATACATAGCAGAAGGTAAATACAAAGTTTCTGTAACTTTCGTTGAGAAAATAAAAATGTGTCAAAATGACCTAGCTCATAAAACTAGTGTTAAAAAAGCTAGTGTTAAAAACTAGTGTTAAAATCGTTCTTATAACCTAGTTTGGCGCCTGGGGTTTTAAAAGCAACTAAAACACAATTATTGGTCTCTACTTATCCAGAGGAAAGGAGACAGAAGGATATAAAAGAAGAAACCTGTCTACAGTGGCTGGAGTCTTAAAAGATAATGCTGAATGTAAAACTGGTGATCTGCTCTATAAATCTTCATACTGAAATGTTTTTTTTAAAAAGAAGCTAGTCTATAGGAACCCATTCCATCTACTATTAAATGGTGTCCAGCTACATTGCTGTATCATACAAACCAGAACAATACATGGGAGTGACTGGAAGAAAAACGTGGAAAAGAGCTTCAAATTCCTATTTGAACAAACTAAACAAAACTCCCTACTGAACTAGTTGAGACAGAAGGATTCTCTGACACTATTGCCCTGAGTTACTCTTTAAATCTTGAATTGAAACAAAACCATGAGGATACTTTTTGGCTCAATAATCGGTTCCAAAATACCACCCAAATTAAGTACCTAAACCAAACTGCCATTGAGTCAATGCTGGCACATCCCAGCCTAAAGAGCAGGGTAGAACTATGAGGGTTTCTGAAACTAACTCATTACTGGAGTAGAAAGCCCTGTCTTTCTTCCATTAAGGACAGTTTAAAATCACCTATACAAGACGCAACAGTTAACAATTGCTCAGAAAAACAAAAATGAAGGCATAAAGGGACAGGCAAAAACTTTCACCCGAAATAATTTGAAAAAAGCTCTATTCTTTTTGTGCTTGTTTTTTTTTTTTAATCGTTTTATTAGGGGCTCATACAACTCTGATCACAATCCATACAAAATCACATTTGTACATTCATTGCCCTCATCATTTTCAAAACACTTGCTCTCCACTCAAACCCCTGGCACCAGGTCATTTTTTTCCCCTCCCTGCCCCATGAGCCCTTGATAATTTATAAATTATTATTTTGTCATATCTTGCCCTGTCCGACGTCTCCCTTCACCCACTTTTCGGTTGTCCATCCCCCAGGGAGGAGGTCACATGTAATCGGTTCCCCCTTTCCAACCCACTCTCCCTCTATGTCACTCACACCACTGGTCCTGAAGGGATCATCCGCCCTGGATTCCCTGTGTTTCCAGTTCCTATCTTTACCAGTGTACATCCTCTGGTCCCCAGACTTGCAAGGTAGAATTTGAATGATAGTGGGGGGAGTGGGGGGAGGAAGATTTTAGAAACTAGAAGAAAGTTGTATTTTTCATCGTTGCTACATCGCACCCTGATTGGCTCATCTCCTCCCCAAGACTCCTCTGCAAGGGGATTCTCCAGTGGCCTATAAATGGGCTTTGGATCTCCACTCCGCACTCCCCCCATCATTCACTATATTAAGATTTTTTGTTCTGATGAAGCCTTATATTGGCTATCAAAAGGTATAGCGTGTGGAGTCTTAAAAGGCTTGAAAGTAAACAAGCGGCCATCTACCTCAGAAGCAACAAAGCCCACACAGAAGAAGCACACCAGCCTGTGAGATCACGAGGTGGCCAAGTGATCGGGTATAAGAAAACAACCCTATTCAAAACGTTCTCTGCCACACATGGCATGGAGTGGTAATTGACTTGTCATCAGCGATTGCTTTATCTCTTGGCTGAAACCTTTTCATTTGACTCTTAAGAAGTTTTTCACATTCCAATCGATGTGTTTGCATTATTTAGGGAACTATTTTTTAATGAGTTCGATTATCTATTAAGCACAAACCTGTATCCATCTCCATATTTTTCATTATTTTTTTCTCTTCTGCGCCTTTGCTTCTCTCGACGAGCCTCAATGCGTCGTTTTTCTTTTTCTTCCATTTTAGAATCAGTTTTTGCTGATAACAAAAATCAGAAGTAAAAATTATTCTTCGTTCTTTTGCCAATCACCGATTCATAAAGTACAGGCATCTGTAATTTACTTGGCAATCAGGATTTAATGAGTTCACCAGAAAACTCTGAATTTCATATTACCAAATATTCTAAAATAATAAGTTATTTGAAAAATCAAAAATGTTTCCACATTTGGTTTGTTATTATACAGTTGTCTTTAAATCTATGTTTTTCAATCTTTGCTCTATGTAATTACTTAAGTATAAGCCGAGTTTTTCAGCACATTTTTAATGCAGTTTTTGTGGTAAAGTTAGGTGCCTTGGCTGATATTTGGGTCGGCTTATACGAGTATATACGGTTTATCCACATCATCTAAAGCTATCTTATTACACCTTGGGGAATGCTAAGCCCGTATAAAAATGGAATCTTGATGACCACTAGGAATCCTTGATGCAGGGTATGTGATGTGTTTTAGAAGTTCAAAGTTCTTGTTTATTGAGATAAAATATGCAGTACATGAAATTTACCATGAGCAATTTTAAGGTGCTCCTTTCATTCACGTCAAACCCCACCACTAGCTAGTTTCAGAACTTTTTTATCACCCATACATACTCCTTAAGCAGATTCCTCATCCCCTTTCCCCTAGCTACTAGCAAACACAAACTTCTGACTGTTGTGAATACCACAAATACTGCGTGCAAGTATTTGAGTGTGTTTTCAATTTTTGAAGTTATGTAGCCAGGAGTCTCATTATGAGTCACATGGCAAGTCTATGTTTCATTTATGGATGACTCACAGCAGCTGCACCATTTAACATTCCTGTTGGAGAAGTGTGAAGATTCCAATTTCCCTACAACCTAACACTTGTCATTTCTTTTTTTAAATAATGGCTATCCTACTGGTTGTGAAGTGGTATCTCATTGTGAGCTCAATCCTTCCCTGTAATACATTATCTTTTGTGATTATAATTGAAAAACACCAGTACAAAATTCCTGAATTAGTATAAGCCTCTCGTAGCAAGAAACATTTATCAAACACCTACTAAGTATACATGAAAGGAACCCTTGAGCCATTGTGGGTTAACAGAAAAAGCTACAATTCAAATCTATCAGTCACTCTGAGAAAAAGATGTGGCAGCCTTCTCTGAAAGACTGAAAGCCTTAAGAGATCCCATGGAGCGAGTTCCACTCTCCAACAGCATTACCGTGAGTCGGAACTGCCTTGGCAGCAGTGGGTTTGATTTGGCCGTAGTTACACATAGACATATTAGACCTGGAAGCACTAAGGTTAAACACACCAGCTGCTCCACGATAGAAAGATGTCCCAGTCTACTTCAGTGAAGATTCCATGTAATTAATTATACTATGGTATGAGTCAGAATCAAATCGACATCAAAAGGTTTGGTTTGGGGTATGTATACATAAGGGTGTCAATGAACTGCCATCAACTCATCAGCACTGGGGATGTTTTTAATGTATACAAGGGAAGGAGTTACAAAACCAATATATTAATGCAATATCCATACTATTTTTCATTAGTTTATAAGGCCTTAAATGTATTATTTTATTTGAAATTTTCAATACCTCCAACCAAGTTTTCCCTCTCTGTAAAAAAAAAATCCATTTATGCAACTATCTCAAACAGGAGTGGTTTCATTTACTCTCATATGCTAAAACTGGATATTGTACGTTGTATCTCTAAATAATAAAATGCAGTCCTTTTCCTAATTTTCCAAACCAATAGTCTGAAATATTACAATGTGACAAGACCCCTAACTCCTGAAAATTTGGCAGGTATCTTTCAAGATGCCCACATCACAACTGCTAGTGAGAGCCCGATTCACATAAAGTCTGGCTTCATTTTTAGGGTATACTAGTTTTTGTTCAACAGGAAAAAGCATCCGTTAGTCTTATCCTATAGAGTCAGCAGGAGTCCGGCTTCTTTTAAGTGCAATGGTTTGTGGTTTTGGTGTATCAACCAGTCAGTCACCAGATAGGTTCCCAAATAGACCAGGGAAATAGTGCTGCCCCTAACGGGTCTCAGGAAATAAAGGCCAAAAAACTTTTATCTAGAAGAGCCACACCTTACAACATAACAAGTTAGCATCTCACATTTTTTACATGCAACTTTCAGTGGTTTTACAATGTTTAACATGTTATACAAACATCGCTGCTATCTCTTTCCAACTTTTCCTATCAACCTTCACAGAAATTCAATGACCCGTACAAGTGCCCTGCCCTCTTCCCTGTCCTTCCCAATTGTTCTTGAAATCACTTATAATCCTAGTACTTCATATAAATGGAATTACACAACCTGTCCTTTCTGTGACTGACCGATTTCACTAGAAATGCGGTTTCCATGGTTCATCTATGTTTGAGCGTCCATGTATCTATCAGGACTTCATTCTCTACGGCAGAGTAATAGTCCATGACATCTAAGTACTACATTTCACTCCACTCACCTACTGATGGACATGTAAGCCTGTTCTACCTTTTGACTACTATGAACAAACTGTCTCGCACCTAATTAATATCATTTCATAATAAATTTTGAAGCCAAAAGGTCTGAATTCTATGTTGCTCTTTTGCAGAATTAGCTATTCTGGGTCCCTTGTTTTTCCACATGCATTTTAAAATCACTTGGGAGTCAAGCTTGAATCAACGTCACCTAGGATTCTAGCATTGCACTAAGTCAGTTTGGATAGTACTTTCATTGTACCATTAAGTCTTCTTAAAAATGAACATAAATGTTTTCCCATCTTGTAGATCTTTTACTTTTCTTTTGCCAATGTTTTAGTTTTCGTAATATACATTTTAATACCTCCTCTTGCCAAATGTATCCCTAAGTATTCTCTTCTTTCTGATGCTACTGTGAAACTTAGTTTTTCAGACAGGAATGAAGACAGTTTTCATTCCGGTCTGAAAAACTACAATCTGCAATATCAACCGGTAGGTGATTACAATAATAGAACACATAAATTTATTTGTGAATTGTTATGCCAATCATGTAAGTGGCTTGCTACACTTTTGGTTTGGTGGTGGAATTCTACACGCCCAAGGGGCAACACAGTCTCCTGTCACAGCCAGTGTGCTATGTACAGTCACCAACCCTGCCAGGGGAAGTGTGAACTTTAACAACTTTCAGCAGCGCTCCCAGACTAAGTGGTCTGGGAAGAAAGGCGTGACAATCTACGTAAGAAAATCAGTTAGTAAAAACCTACAGGACCACACAGCCAAACCCTAACCAATCAAGGAAGGGCTTGGGTGGGGCAGCATCAGCCCCATTGTGCAGGAGTTGACTCAAGAGTTATCAAAGTTTCTTCCCTGAATCTTCCATAAAGCGGACTGTATTTCACAAACACCTTCATGAAAACCTCCAATGAAAGAGATCTGCATTAAAATCTAAGAATTTGAAAGTCATTACAAATTCAGGCTAAGTACTAAATATGGAATGCAGGTCAGTTTGTTGATTCTTGCTCTAGACTCCAATGCAAAAATTAACACAGCAATAAATAAATCCTTAAGTATTCTAAGTGCAGTTAAAAAACTAAATGTTTAATATGGTCTACAATTGAAATACAACTGAAACAAGATGGCTAATGTAACATGGGTATTTTATCTGAAAATATGGGCAGTAAACATAAAATTCACAGTGCTTAAATATCTCCCATTAAGTGTGATTCAGATTCATTTTTGCAATGATAATTATGTCAGTTTCTCTCTATACACTTAAATTATTTAAAACCATTGAGTAATAATACTAAAATAAAATGCTATGTAAGTGAAATTCAGTTTCTGACTTACTGGGTGATTTGCTGAGGCTCTTCTCCACGGGTTTTGTTAGCTTGGGCTTCTTGATAAAGGTTCCACCGGGCTTATTAAATGGCTGCATTATTTTTCTCTTTATTCCTCTTGCAGCACCAACTCCCACATTGGTGGGTTTGTTTTGATAGTCAATAACAATTCCAGGTCTATGAACGTTTCCAAAATCTCCCATATGCTGTAAATTTGTCAAATCAAGTAATATTAGAATATTTTCCAAAGTCAAAATATGAATTTATATAAAATTAACATGTTATCTAGCTACTGATTTTCACCTGCAAATTCCCACAATTTTATAAATGTCCACTCTGAACACACTGAAAAATTTTGTACATGAAATAAGTCAAATCCAGTGAATTGATATTTTCATTTCCAGTAGAACATATATGGAACTCCCCTACATTTTAATTATAATTCCTTATGTCTTGAGATCATAAACGTATGTGCCTGAAAGAATATTACCACTTGTACAACTCTCTGACAACTCCTCTTCAGAGTTCCTAATTGATGGTTTCCCATCAAAGACCTTCAAAGAAATCCTTATTTTACTAACACCTGGCTTAAAACTTAAGACACACACAGACCATTTCTGTAGTTTAAAGGAAAAAAACCTCAGAAATCATTTAAGATTTCTCCCTGTTGAAAAAGGGAATGAGAAAGCTAAATGGAACATTAGCATGAAATAGGAGTTAAAGCATACCATGCATCAACTTCCAAAAGACACACTTCAAATTAAAGAACTGCATCGGACGTTCCATTCACATTCTTTCATAAAGAAACATACTCTGCCCCAGCAGCGCCAGAAACAAAAGTGTACAGCTGAAGAGTCATGCGACCAAAGACTCAACGTCCCTTAACTTCTCTCGTCATTGCAAAATCCCTACACCAAGAGTCCACCTGCCCACAGAAATGTACTCTGCTAACCTTACTTTGAGGAGACAAAGACTGAGGAGCAGTCTGAAGAGAAGGATCCAATGGGAATTGTACAAGTGAGGGTTACAAAAGCAGGTCCTATCAGTCATTAATAGAAAAGAAAATCCATTCAGACTAAGAGTAGTGAATACAATGTAAAGGAATACCTGTGTGACAATCATGGAAACAAAATAACTGATGTTTCCTTAAAAAGAAAGCCTTTTCCTAAATAAGACAGAGTATGGAAAAATATTTTCCAATTTTTAAAAGTGGGGTGGGTTTTCAATTTCCAAATTCAAAGTCTTTGCCCTAATAATTTTTGATAGGCCTACAATTATAAAGTATGATGGAAAGCAACAAACATATCAGTTGCTTTTATTTGTGTATCATGCTTAGTTAGGAACACCTATCTAACCTAGTAGACCTTAATAGTGTTTCCAGGTAATATAGAGTCACACCAGAAAAGTCTTCATTAACGATCCATTAAAGGTGCAATGCATTTTATAAAAAAGTAACTTACTACAAAATTTCTATACAAGTATATAAACTATCCTGTGAAACAGACTAATGGACAAACGTGCTTGATTACATTTTTTGAGAAGTATTTTCTTCTGCACTGACTAAATAGATAACACAATATTCTTATATAACCAAACTATGTAAGCCCAATCTACATACATTTACTTGGGAAACTTTCTTACCCTACATGCTAAGATTATGGGGTATAATCTTTACACTACATAACTTGAGATTAAACACTCGCAAAGTGAGCATTGAAACAATTTACAAGATATTACTTCCGAGGAAGAGGCCACAAACATGTCTGTATGCATGGAAAAGTAACTCCTCAAGAGTAAAGCTAGTGACACCAGGGAAAATAAAGCCACGTGCAATAAGTAGGCTACATTTGTAAAAAGATGTATTAGCAGAATCAAAACTGAAACAAAGCATTCTACAACCTACTACACACCTTTTTTTTTTTTGCCATGTAAACATGCTTAACGATATTCCTCAACTACCACCAACTTTTAAGTCTCTTGTGTTTAATGTGAAATATGGAACTTGGGAAGAAATTCTAGTTGCCAGTTTAGTAGTAAAGTGTGAGCATTTTATCATACATTGCACCTTTAACCTACTCAAAAGCTCAAAGGGTTGGTTCAGTAACCTTTTACAGTAATCCAAGAGCTGTCCCACCAGCAAAGCTGCTAGTGTTCACAAGGAAAAATGCAACTCCTTTTAACCCCTTTTAGACCAAACCTAACATCCACACCTTTTAATAAAGGAGATTTCGCAAAGCTTCATGAATAATCATCTTACACTGCCACTTATTTTCTGAGGTGCTACAAAAATTTTTAGTAACCTAAAATTTATGTTTATGACTCTGATTTTACTTCAAAACACACTGGGATGAACAGTGTTCATTCTACTGCACACACCATGGTCTTGAAAGGGTTTAAAAGAGTGACTAGTGAAAAGAATCTGAAAAGATTCTGTTGTACTTACTCCTCGGCCTCGGCCTCTGCCTGTTGATGGTCCTCCAAAAGCATCATAGTTTCTGCTTCCAAACGTATTTTCAGGATAAGCAGGCGTTCCTCTCCCCCGAGAGCCTACAGGCGCAGGCTTCATATGGGGTGAAGAAAAACTGCTGTAGGAAGAGTAATTCTCTCTTCCTCTGTCCTCCATAAACCCAGGCCTCAATTTTGAACGGGAGTAAGGTGCTTCCCAGCTAGACCCGCCCTGGTTTCTACCTCCGAAAGAGTCAAGGCTATTCCGGTAGGAGCTCTCATATCGACCACCATAACTACCTCCGAAGCGGCTTTGTTCGGGTTCATTATAACCATAGCCAGATCTGTACAGATCTCGCCCACCCAGAGAAGACCTGGAGTCGTAAGACTCATAAGGTCCAAACCTGGAAAAGTTGCACAGTGAGGGAAAAAACAAAAGTAAGCTTACTAGTGTTAGACAATTCAAAAGACAAGTTATCAGTTGACAATATCAACTAAAATTCATTTATACCATACTGGTTTGCACAGTTCTATTCTATTCACGCTTGATTAGGGCTGGGCAATTCAACAAGTGACCAGATAGAAAGCTATCTGAGGTCTGTTTCTAGGAATGAATTGAGTTCAATCAACCTTAGCTTTTTCAAAAGTCTGGTTTTTAGCAGCTTTTCTATTTAATTAAGAAAATTTGTCCATCACTATTTAAGCCCAGCCCTAGTCTTGGAAACATTTGCACAAGCTCATGAGCTACTGAAACTTTCTCTGAATCCATCTCTATAATCAACATATAAACGAGATTTGCAACAGTTTGGCTTTCTATGGACACACAAATTGAAGACTACACAGATGTAGGCTATTTGCGACACAGAACAGATCTTTTTGCATCCCAAATAATCTATATCATGAAACAGCTTTCACTGCATGTGTAGTAGTCAAAATTTGAGGAATTATCGGTTTTTAAAATTTGACAAACTGCCAAACTTTGGTCCTCTGTTACTTTTCACTTAGAAACATGTTAAAATCTAATAATCTATGATAAACACACAAGTAAAAGAGCACTAACATAAAACCTCTGCACATGAACTTTCAAGGCAAATGACAAAGAATACACTTATAATATCCTTAAGTATATATGAAACATGATTTCCTGCCAGGTAACTATCACATGAAACTACTCTTTAAAAAGGGAGTACAGTCTCCTTGTGGGCATCATCTTACTTCACACATCTAAAACATGAAATACAAAACTTGCTATCTTACAACAGAGTTTTACAAAGGCTTATAATTACACAGGAAATAAAAGCAATCACATCTACAGTAAAGAGCAATTAAATTTACAATAGGGCAACACTGACATATTAAAGCATTTAAATGTACTTTGTTTCAATTAATTAGAGACTACTAAATAGAAGGTATTCTTTACTTTTGAATCCTAGTGTCCATATAAAATTCTTCTTTCCAACTAGTTTTCATAATAGCTCTCACATAAATAAAACTGTTTTAATTGCTGTTTTCTGCCCTAAAACCACAATGGCACACTTAGCAGAAGCAAGGAAAGCAGCACCATCCAGTCCATCATTAAGGATCCAGACCCTTCAACGTATCGCGCACGCATTAAGTGTTCCCCAGCTAGTGCTGCTTATATTCAGGATTCTCGAAAAGTTGACCTCCTTTGCCTGAAATGTGGTCAGCTCTAAAGCTTGTTGCTGTTCAATTAACATGGAGAGTTACAGTTAAAATATTAATACAATCTAACCCCTACTGCATTAAAATAAGCAGAGGTCTATTATGGATAGCTTTAATATAATGCTGTATTTTGCATAGACCACATGTATTTTTGGTGTAAGCAAAACCTGCCAATACACAGCCTGGATATGATTTTTTAAATTATTACAATTTGCTCTTCCAAGTCATTTTAAAATCCAAAGAATACCTATATTAAATGTCTAACACTAAATATTACTAAACTGGTTCCATTGAATCCAACCTAGTCAAAAACAGCTTTGTTGCTTCACAGGCTACTCCACACTTGAAACTTTTTCTGTTTTTAAATTTTAAAGCTTCACAAATATATCCCCAGTAACATATTTCATATAATTTGGTCAGGGCATTCTGATTAACAAGGAATTAAATTTTGGAGGGGGAAAAGTTCACTTCTAAAGATTAAGTATTTTTCTTTATCTTGGTTTTACTAAAATAATTTGTCAGCAATTTTGATATCATTTTTATATCCACTAATACCTTCAAACACTTAACATCATGACATTCAATACCATATAAAGATCAATTATCATTACATGCCTAAGATATACTTAAATTAATATATCCAGAATCTCATAGTTGTCTAATTACTTGGCCAAGTGATTAAGCAATTTACCTGTTGCCCCCCCCACCGCCACCGTGATTGTCCATGCCATAGGACTGGTTTAGGTAGGAGTCCATGGATCTTTGACCCCCATAGGACCCATGGCCATATTCACGATCCATCCCTATAAAAATTTAAAAAGAAAAGCATTAAATAATGCCCACGCCGGGTAGTGCTCAGAAGAATAGTTTTAAAATTAATGATCTTTGAATGCCTGACCTCCATAAGATCCAGGGCCATAATCACGATCCATTCCTACAAAAGAACCAAGAAAAGAAGCACATAAAATACACCATTCTCTTTAGGAATCTTTGTATAACGAGTGCTTTGTTTTATGCTTAATCAGAGATAACGCATCATTAATATTTACACCAAGCTCACACTAAACAACAAGCTCACACTAAACAACAGAGAAAATAGATGGCAACCTCGTGAAAAACTAGATTTGCTAACAAAGAAACTATCACTAACAAGGCTCTATATTTGAACTATTTTCAATTTAACCAATAATTATTTGACAGTATAGTACAGGATGACTGTACTAAAATCAAAACAAAACCAACTATATTCAAGTCTATTCCAACTGAGTGACCCAACTCAAGACAGGAGAAGATAGAGTTGCAGTACAGGGCACTGCCCATCTTTCTAACATAGGGCAGCCGGTAGGTTGGAACCACTGGTCTTTCTATTAGCCGCAAGCACTTCACCCACTGCACTCATGAGTGTTAAACAAAAGGTAAAACATAAGGTTACTATGGGTTGGCGTCAACATCACTAGGCACAACTGGGTACATAGCGATAATTAGCATAATCCCTATTCTCAAGAAGTTAGCATTACATAATTTCAAAAGGAAAAACATTTGAAGCTTAGTGCTGTTTTTCTGTATCTGACTCGTCTCAAGGTATCAAAAATAAAAGGAAATAAAGTTCCTAAGAAGTGCAAAAAAGATTTTTTCTAAAAGGGAAAACCATAGTTTGGGCCCTATTTGTAATACTACCTATAAACAATGACAATTATTTAAATCCACAAAACTTGAAATCAATGTGAAATTCCTGCAATGTAAGAACTGAAATAAAATTTTAACACAATAAGGGTACTGAAGTTTTCAGAATTTGATATTTTAATACAAACAATTCACGGGGTCACAGTGGACTTTTTTTAACAAGCCACAGTCCCATCTTACTCCAAATAAAAGCCAAATCCTTGAAATACCGTAACCTATAAGGCTCTAAAAAAAAATTTCTAGTTGTCACAACTAAGGAAAAGGCCCTGCTAGGATATAGTGAGTCGAGGGCAGGGATGCTACTAAACATCCTACAATGCACAGGATAGCCCATCTAGCCCCGACAAAAAAAATCATCCGGTATCCACTATTCCAGAAGTTAGAAAACCTTGCCCTGTAATGAGCCACTACACTACATTACACACCACCTTTTTAACTTCATCATCTCTAAACCCCCTTGTTCATACATTCCAGCTACACAAACCCCTTGATGGTTCTAGAACATAAGCAATACAACCATTTTTTCATCTGCTAGCCCCTCAGGCTGCAATGCTCACTATCAACTCTTCCAAGTCTCATTTTCTAAGCTTTTCCAGAGAGCACGTTAGGATCTGGCTACCCCTCATCATTCTCACATTGCGTTAAAACCGACTGCTCAGCAAACATGATCTATTCTGGTCAAGACAGTTTTAAGTCTCTTGGAAACACAATTTTGCGCTGAGTTCTACTTTTGTTCCTGCTGCCCCTCCTACCTGAATACTTCTTTTTCTTTCCATTTATTTATATAAAAAGTAGATATAAAGATGGAAACATGAAACATTAGAAGTACAACTTCCAAAAAATGAAGGAAGTCTGTTTCATGACTATCTTCAGGGATTAAATTTTTAAGATTGGAATGGAATTATCTTAGCGTCATTTAGCATGTACACTCTAATTTTGCTTCCTAAAATCTTCCTATAGATAACCTAGTAATTTAGTCACCAGCTACTCTTAAAAATGTTTTAATATTCACAGGATTCCCCCTCCCCAATAGCAGTCATTATCACCTTCTTTATCTTATTACTTCCTCCCATTAGGCCAGTGGTTCTCAAAGTGGACTCCCAGGGGCGTGGAACCTTGTGTGTTTGGGTGGGTGGGTTGGAGGGGGGACGGGTATTGTTGCAAAAGCAGATACCCATGCTTTATGGTGGATTATGCACTGCAGCACAAAAGTTTCTAATTAGGGGAGGAAGAGGTTGGTATTTCCCCCCACCCTGAAAAGGGAACAGTAAGAACAAATATGTTTGGGAACCTCTGTTTTTGACTATCAAGTCCACAGGGCTGGATATCTGTCCATTTTGCTTACAGCTGTATTCCCCACTACTAGAATATCTGATATGCAGCAAACAATATTTACATAAATGAAATCAAATTATAAGCCTGAAAGTTCCTCATTTATAAAATGTAGATTATAACCCAGGCCTCAGAGTAATCAAGCAGTGATTTCTTTAACCAGAAATACAGTGTTATTTCTTTAACTAGAAATACAATCCATGACTATAACTATCTTTCACAATCAACATTGCCAGGGGCCATTTGTACTGAGATTGAGATTAAGATTCAAGAGTACTTTATGAACTGTGGGATAGGCACACATCCCCCTTACCCTGCTAAACTCCAAACCAACTGACCTATTGTGGCTTTCTGGAGTAGGGGAGAACTGTCTCTCCCATTTGTGTTTCTGAAACTGCAACTGTTTGAGGGAGTAGAAAGTTCCATCCATTTAACTTCAAATAAAACATTAACAAAAATTAAAAAATTAGATAGAAATTTCTAGAGATGTTTTTGCAACATGCCATTTTACTAAGAAAATAAGCTTCTAATAACTAATTCAGCTCCAATAAATCTCTAAGGCAGATCATGGCTATCTATCATTGCAACTTGTACTTTCTGTTAATAACCCTAGTTGCAGCCACCCAAGTTTTAAGTACTGGACTCATTTTTACTAATCTTTCTATTATGTTTTTATTTTTCTATTATGTTTGTCTACAAATGTCCCTTGCTTTCTCAAAGTCTCAATTTTTTATCATCTCCCAAACTGTCCTAAATCCTTACACCTAATGAAACTGCTTTCTAGATTTTGATCTAATCTGTAGATTCAAATTCAACATCCTTTGGTAATTGTATATCTCTCCTCAAAAAAATACATGGCTCCCCCCGCCTTTAGGCCTCCTACTTACATGTTAAACCATTTTCAATTTCACATCAAATAGTTTAAATCCTTTGAGATAAATGGAAATTAATTATAGTAAATTACACATGTAAATTAGCAGTATTATTTCCTGGTATATTGTTCTGCTTTATGAATATATCAGAACTATACTATTAAATATGACAGAGTTTGTAATTTTGGGGCAGTCAAGTTGATTTAGTATCACTCCCTCAGCTCTTTCATAATTTTTTTAATGTCTTTGTTCTGTTGTCACTTCTGTATTACTGTCCTGCCTGACAGGGCCTTAACTCTATCCTGCAACCTTCTCAAGAGTTTGTTTAGCTCTAGTCACAAGTCTAACATTATGTTCTTGAAGTAATCCTCTAGAGATAGAAACCTCTTTAAATATTAGCCCATTTGGAGGCAAGTGACCTCAAGAATTTAAGAAAGGTCAAAATGCTTATAGTAAAGAACTATATACAACCAAGCTAATAATCCACCTGGCCTACATTACTAACAAAATCTCTGATTAAAAAAAAAAAAAAGCCCAACCAGTTTCTTACAACCCATCACTCAGAATGCAGTCAGAACTTCTAGAATAAATCAATCCAAATAAAATAGCCAAGATGCAAATGGATCAAAATTACTCAACTTTTTTGGATTCCCTAATTCCCGATACAAATATAGTTTGACGATATTAACAATGAGAGGTGACAAAATCAAGAGCCAAAATAATGGTTGAAATGAGAAGGAATGAGCTTTTACATTGGTTCTTTATTGTACAGGACATGAAATCACTGATAAGCAATCCTCTCAACAAATTTAACAGGGAATGAAAAAGGATACTTACCATTAAAACCCTGATAAGTATTTCTGCAAGCAGTGTGAGAATAATCTATGAACATATTTAACAAAGAATTAGTTCAGTATTATAAAATATCACAAATTATATACCCACTTATAAATAATTCCTAAAATGTAATTATGGTAACTTATCTGCAAAATGGGGAACAAAAAAATTATCGATTTGAGGAAATATATCTGCTGTTCTTCCCCAAGCAGCAGGATTATGATTCAAATTATGGCCATATAAATATCAGTTGATATACACTAAGAATTAAAAAAAGGGGCCCAGTACAGATTTATAGAGTAATAAAAGGACAAAGACTAAATTACATATTAAATAACACATAAAGACACTTAGAAGTTTACTTTACATAACATTGTTTTTTTGTTTTTCATTTTAATGTCCCATAACAAGGAAGAATGGAAAAAAGGAACCCAAGAAATGGGAAGGGTACTATTACACTGAGGGGATTGTGATCAATGTCAAGAAACACAATGTGCATCAATTACTGAATGGGAAACCAATTTGCATGATACACTTCTAGAGTCGAAATAAAAAGTTCAAAAATAATTGCTTCTTTTCATTTGTCCTCTGGAAATATCAAGTTCTTATCTGAGAACTACACAGGTATAGACCTATGTACGCGCATTGTAGTTGATGCAACCTAAAAATCTCCCATTAGCAATCTCGTCAAAACTAATAAGCATCAATACAAAAGCATTAATTTTACAATTGGGAGGGGAGAATTTAATACAATGATCATTTGGATGCAACAGAATCCTCCCACTTTGCACAAAATTATCTAATTTAGATATATTGTTAGTCAAATTTCATTTCCCAAATATAGCAGTAGGGTTGGGATCGGCAGTAAGTGAAGTACTTTATCAGGAAACACTGTTTAGAATTGTGGGCACATCGTGCTCATGGAGTAGAACTGCCCCAGTGGGTTTTCCCATTTTCCTGGCAGTCGTAAGTCACCTTTTCGCAGAGGAGTGGCTGGTGGTTTCACACTGCTGACCTTAACCACTCTATTCCACGAAGGGCACTATGGGTTGGTTGGGTACACATTGGGTTGCTAACCACAAGGTCAGCAGTTGGAAACCACCAGCTGAGCAGGAAAAAGACTAGACTTTCACTTCCTGTTAAGAGGTCGTCTCAGAAACCGACAGGGGCAGTTCTACCCTATCCAATAGGGTCACAGTGAGTCAGGATCAACTCGCTGGCACTGAGTTTGGTCTGGTTTATTATTGGTTTTCACATTATCCAGGCAATGGGCTCACAGGAGACGAGAGGGAGGCTGTCTCCCATGGCCACCAGGCTCTCTCAGAGGGAGTACTGCCTAAGTATGGAGCCCAGACAGGGCAGGAAGTGAAATGTTGCACTCCTGGTTCAAACCCAACAGCCACTCCCAGGACAGTCACTTGAAAGTTGTATAGCCTCAGGCAGTCCTACTCTGCCCTAGAGGATGAGGAATCATGGGGACAAACAAGTATGGATCCCATTATCCAGCTAGTAAAAACATTAATGAATGAACTTCTCAAATTCACTTTCAACATACATCAAAATGACCCAAGTACACACCTGCACTACTCGAGCTAACAGCAGACCTTCCTTTTTAGTCTAACTCTGATTTGGGCAGTTTTAACCTTTTGTGACTTGAAATCCAATCAAAGAGCAAAATATAATTTACTCAGTCCCAGCTGCACTCATACCTCACCAAATGCTTTGTTTTTTGGTGGGGCTACAGGGTTATAGTTAATCAATGAACTGGCTATTCGGGATTCAATCCAGTTTAATCAAACCATTTCCCAAGTCTCTCCTCTCCCTTCACTACAAGACATTTTATCTCGACACCAATACCTATAAAAGTTGGGCAAGCTTAGAAAGCAGGCGAATACTAAGACAATTTTACTTTGTGAGCCTGCGAAAATGGCTTCAAGAACTACATTACCGCTAAAGTGTTGGTCCAGCACACTCAGCTCGATGCAGGCTTGAATGTGAAGGGCACTTCCTGCTTGCGGTGCAAGAATTCAGGCAACTATTAAGCCCCATCCAGGCACAATGCAGGATGATGGTCGGGTTCACAGCAGTATTTTTCAAGTTAGGGATTAATGACCCGGTCTATTTGGCAGCTACGTGTTCGTTTGCTAGCCAGAAATAACTTGCTTTCCATTTTGCAGCCGGCTATCTATACACGACTCATAGGCTCCTTTAAAAGTCATCTTAAACTAGTGAAACTGAAACGTCATGGTGGGCAAGCCTTTGAAATCTGGCAAGTCATCCGTAATTGGGGAATAACTAATTAGGAAACGGAGGCCCGGGTCGCTCCTCGGCGTGCGGAAGGCAAGCCCCGGTGGCTGCGGCGGGGGAGGGGGTTCCGGGCTCGGGCGCCGGGGCGAATCCGGGCCCTCAAGCTCAGGCCCTCGTCCTCCAGGGCGCGTCCTTCCCCGCACCGAGGTCGGCACTGAAGGCCCCTGGCCGCCCGTGGCTGGCCCCGAGCACCCGTAAATGGGGACACCCAAGTTTCGGAAGAGACCGGCTCTGGAGCTGCCCTCGCAGCGGACAGACGAGCGGACTCGGGCCCGCAGAACAAAGCCCACGCGGCCATTTTGAGACGGTTAACAGAACCGCCCGGCGGCGGCCAGCCCACCTCCCAGCGCCAAGACGACCAGCCAGAGGCAGCGCTTACCGTCCTCGAAGTCCATAGCGAAGACTCGGAGCCGATGGCCTCGGCGGCACTAGGCTGAACGCTGCCTGACGCTGAGAGCCTGCGAGCAACAGAGCCACACACGCCTAGCCGGGAAGAACGACCGTGACGCCACGGGCCAGGAACCACAAGCCCCTGCGAGGCGGGGGCGGGGCCGAAGAGCTCCGCCCGCCGCCGTAGCGCCGCCTGCGATTGGCTGATGCGAGTCAGTGGGCGGGCTTTCACATAGAGACCGGAAGCTTTCCGCCTGTCACTCTCCTCGTTGTTACGCTGGTAAAGCTGCGGAGGAGGAAGTGAAATGAAGGATGGAGAGCTCAAACTAATAAAGCCACGTGCCGACCTTTCGCTTTTTATTGGATCGTGAAGATTGCTCACACACAAAAAAGAAGAAACCTTTCTTAAAGAGTACTTAGGGAGTTTCTGTCGTGAAGACACGGAAGACCGGGACGTTTTTAAAACTCACTGAGCAGAGGAGAGCAGATTGCTCAATAGAAATCGTTTATGGGAATGATGTGTGTTCTCAAGGTGCAATATAAAACGACTGTAAAACTCACAGCTAGGAGGGAGATGTGGGAGAAGTCACTCAGCACTTGAAGAACGGCCACACACGTACATACACACTGCTGTTGTATTATTGCAACTTTTGAAATATGTAATGTTGAGGTCAGTGGGCAAATTTATTCATCCATAGGGCAAAATGACCCTGGAGCAGCTTAAACTACGGGTGTAAACATTATTGGGGGGGGGGGGATTTAAGAACAGTGTCAACAGTGAAATGGCGTCAACAATGAAATGATGGTTGGTGATATTAAAATCAGGAACAAAAACTGCAGCTTCAATCCAGTTGATGACTACTTCCTGGCGACCACGTTTGTGGCAGAACTACCCTCTGTAGGCCAGGCCTTTCTTTCGAGGTGCCTTTGGGTGGGTTGGAACCTCTGCACTTTCGTTAAGTAATTTAACAGGTTAGCACCACCCAGCACTCCAATAATGTCCACAGCAACTTGATCACTGGAAAGGAAACCTGAATCAAACCACTTGCTCTTCTTCACGGTCCCATCAGTATCTGGAGCCAAGTTTCAAGAAGGCATCCCCTCTGAATTCAATTCGAGGGGAAACTCACTGGTATAGTCTTTGTAACCAGGCATTGATCATGTGATAAGCTAACCAAAAGCGTAGCAGTTGGAATCCACCGGCTGTATGCTCCACATGAGACAAGGGCACCTAATGATGGGTTACCGTAGAGATAACACACAGCAAAGGAAACACTATGGGTCACTTCCACCCTGTCCTGTGATTTGAATTGACGGCAGTGAGTGATTGAGTGATGAGTCTTGACAGCAAAGGTGTCATTTAGTTGTTACTCCTCTATCCTGATTGGTTCACCCGATTTGAGTTGCCCAGTTCACTTTTTTCTTGCTTTTTAAACAGTTTTATTGGCATAGAATTCATATATCATACAATTGAATAGTTCAAACCCATCAAGAAGAGTTGTACAATCATCACCACAATCAATTTTAGAACACTTTCTTCATTCTTGTGCTCATCGTTATTAGCTCTGCATTGCCCCTCAACCTCCCCTGCCAGACCCACAAGGAATCATTAATTTAATTAGTGTCCCTGTAGACTTACCCATCATGGATTTCAGACACAGGAAAATATTTCAAAGAATAACACTAACAAAGTAAATAACAAAGTAAAACATAAAACCTCTATCAAAGACATAGCAGAAAACATTAAAAACTAGAACAAATTTAAAATGAATCGAAAGAGGAAGCAAATGATAAGGTGTTACATTTTAACCTAACTGCATCTGCAATAATCCGCTTTCTAATGTGTTCTGCATGATACCTATTCATATCCCTGGTCTATGGCCAGTGGGGGAGGGGGGGAATCACTAAAGGCCTAATCCAAGTGTATTTCCCCTTCTTTTTTCTCGCCTATCCATGTTTCCTTTTTGTCTGAACTGAACTTGTTGAAAGCTAAACTCATAATTTCCTCAAATCTGCACATCTCCATTTGTAGCATCATGAGCTAGAAATTATGGATTCATCCAGTCAAGACCGCATCCTCTCCTACCTCCTACCTACAAATCCACACTGAAGTCTTTTCTCTCACAAGCTTCTTACTCCCTAAAACTTCACACCTGCCCATTCTCCTCTTTCTCCACTGCCACTACCTGAGGCCAACATAAAACAAAAATGCCTCAATGCCATGTCGTCCATTAGGACTCATGGCAACCCTATTAGACAAAATAGAATTGTCCTAGTAGTGGGTTTCCCAAACTACTCTCAATGGGAGCAGACAGCCTTCTCTTTCTCCCAAGGAATGCCTGGTTGTTTCCAACTGCTGACTGTGGTGAGCCACTCAACCCTAACTACGCCACCAGGATTCCTTTTTGCTTCCCTCAAACTAAAAAACTCAATGCCATCAAGGCTACTCTGATTCATAGTGACGCTATAACACAAAATAGAACTGCCTCTTTGGATTTTCTATAAATCTTTTAAAATTAATTCACGCACTTTCTTTCCATTCCTTTCCTTTCCCCTCCCCCTGGCCTCCCGTAACCATCAAAGTCTGCCCCTTTTGGTGTGAAAACCATCTTTCATGAATTTCTTTTATATAGTGGTTTTCAAAAAGTCTTTAACAGATGGACTATCCTTACTGACCACGAGGTCTTCCAAATCTGTCTATTTTTTTAGGCATATGACAGTTGAATCATCATTTATTAAGGATGTATAATAGGATTTCATCTTGCTTGGATCCACAATCAATGCTCATGGAAACAGCAGTCAAGAGATCAAAGGAGGCACAGCCTCGAGTAAATCTGCAGCCTAAGACCCTTTAAAGAGTTGAAAGTCAATGGTGCCACTTTGGGGACTAAGGCGCCTGACCCAAGTCATAGTATTTCAATAGCCTCATCTGCATGTCAAAATTGGACATTGAATATGGAAGGCTGATATGGAATTATGGTGCTGGTGAAAACCATTGAAAGCACCATGGATGGCACAAAGAACAATCTCGGCTAGTTCAGGAGTGAACGGGTGGGGAAGGAACGCTAGGCTAGGCTCTTGTGTCTGCCCGCTCCCCCACCCTGGGCCCTAGCGCCCACCCAGTCGGCCGACCCAGCCGTGATCAAGGCGATCCTCACCTTCAACAACCACGGGAAACTAAGGCTCTCAAGTTCCACCAGCCCTACAGTGAAGACACACAACAACCAATCATCAGGGGGACCTTCCCTTTGGGATCCAAGAGAGATGAAAATGTTGGTAACTTCCTAGAAGGAGGATTGTTACCAGGAGGATCTGACAACAACTGATATATAGACATTATGCAACATTGTATTTTGTCTTCCGTGTGGATTCTTCAGAAAGGGAACCTGGCATTTTAGAGCTAATTCCACTATTGGTGGAAACATTAGACGAGTGTCTAGAAAAAGTCTGTGAACTGGATTTAACTTCCCACCTAGATAAGGTTCACAATATTCTTGCACAATGGTGATGGGGGGCATGTCATTGGAGGCCAACCTGAAGGAGATTGTTACGCACACTGATGCACACAATGACTGGAGGACTCTGAGGCTGGCTCAGCAGGAGCTCCAGCCCGTGCGGTATCTGCTGTAAAGAGTATGAATCTTCCTGAGGTCCCAGAAATATTAGCATTGGTGACATCAGTATCAAAGTGCCAAACCTGCCCTCTTTTAAATTAAAAAAAAAGTTTTTTTAAGGTTACTTCCAGGTAAAATCCAGGGGGGTGGGGGGAGTCATCCAAGTATACCAGGCAGTTGTTTACCAAAAATCGAAGTCTTAACTTTTGCTCTTGGACTTAAGGCAAGGTACCCTATAGAAGGTTTGCAAAATCAGTATGTGAAATTCAACGTCACCTTTCTTGCTCAGTGGTTTTAAAGAAATTGAGTAGCTGTGTGATTTTGTTGTTTCCTTTTCTAAACGGAATCCCTAGGCTCACCTAAGACATGTAATGGCTGTTAGAGTATTGTGTAATGACTATTAGAGTATTTTGAAAAGTGGTTGAGCTTTTTCTCTCATTACGTACAACCCCAAATGTCGGTGTTTTGTATGGGTCACAAGTACAGCATGCCGTAACTCCGACTATTGGTCACCAATGTTTTTTAAATAATGCATGGAAACATTATGACCTTTTCCTCTTAGGGTAAATAAACCCCAAGGTAACTGGACTTATAAAGCACTTTTCTGTTTGCCTGATGTGTGATTTTCTATGCCCTTCTGATTCAGCAAAGTAAATAAAAGTATATTTTATCTTGGGTTTCTTTGGTTTGTTTTTTTGTTTTTCAAAAAAAGGACAAATGAATCTGCCTTGAAGAAAGTACAGCCAGAATGCTCCTTAGAAGTGAGGATGGTGAGACTTCATCTCACGCACTTTGGCCACGTTATCAGGAGAGAAAAGTCCCTGGCAGAGGTCATCGTGCTAGGTAAAGTAGAGGTAGGAGGTAGGCCCTGGACAGGAAGGATTGACACAGTGGCTGCAACAACATCCTTAACATAAAAACAATTGTGAGGATGGCGAAGGACCAGGCAGTGTTTTTTCCTACTGTGTGTAACAGACTTGTGAAACAACAGTCTTCCAGAGCTGTTACGCATTACATGCAGGCAACAGCTGGGCAGGCTGTTTGTTTCCTTCTTTGTGCTGTTATAGACAGCCCTGTGATAAACAGGTGTGCACATACCTGTTCCTGTTTGGTTCTTTCTCTGGGGTAGATACTGAGTAGAGAGATTGCTTGGGCGCGTGGTATTTCCACTGGCATTTAAGGACCATAAATCTTTCCAGGGCCAGAACCCTCATCTTTCTTCTGTGGAGCAGCTGGTGCGTTCCAACCTCTACCCAAGTGGTTAGCATCCTAACCAGTAATCCATTACTTTACCAGGGCTCCTTTGGCTATGCTAATTTCCATTTGTGAGTGAGGCTGCCCCTTCCGGGGATGCTTAGGGGAGTGGTGGTAATCTACTTTGAACCATTCTGCCTGAGGGCAATGCTTTTTAGTTTTTGCGTCTGTGATCAGAAAACAACTGAGTGGAGGTTGAATCTATCAGGAAACTCAAAAATGGATTTAGAGTTCCCA